TGATAGAAATCCTCCAATCCATATTGGACGGGAAGTTTTCCGTTGAGTCAAGACACCTACAATATTTATTTAATATCGCAACGTCAGACTGAACAAACCAAAATAATTAAAATGAACTGATATGTATGTTATAAATCAGATTAAACGAAATAGGTTTGCCATTCTCGAGTTTAGTTTGATCAGAGCGCTGTTGTCAATTCATCGATGGCTGAACCATCAGGAAAAAAAACTCAGCTCTGGTTACAAACCTATAAACACCTACGGACCACGACCAACCCTCAAATCAACACATTCTGAATTGCGATTCACATTTCGTTACGGTAGATGTTCATCCGAGTGAGTTATTTGATTATTTCCAATGCCTTTCTTTGAAATTCAAACTCGACCTGCATAAATTCATCCTCTCAAGTGTCAAGTGCCAAACGTGACTTCACGTTGGACTATTGCAGATGGTCATCTTGTTGTTTATAAAAAGAAGTGAACTGTTTTTAGTGTCTTGATCTTGCTTCGCAGATCAAACCAAAGGGAATGAAATGAAATGTCATGGGAAGACAACTCTCCAAGTTAGGACCAAGTTTAGAAAATTCTTACCCGCTAAAAAGTAAAGAAAAATTAAGTCGTGTTAAAGCTTCGATTCAATCCAGACACGCGAGAGGAAGGACTCAAATTTTCTTCCCTCAGGGGGTATTCGAGGTTTTGAAACAATCTGTTTAATCTACCTGAAAGATTTGAGCGCGGCTATTATTCTCCTACTATCTTAAATATTACGGATTATTAAAAACTGGATCATCGGATAATGCAATTCAAGACTTTTTATTGGCTTAACCATTATGGTATACGAGCCAATATCTGGAGGCAGTGTGGCCGAGTGGTTAGAGTGTCGGACTTGTAATCCGCCGCTCCCGGGCTCGAGTCCCATCCTGATCACTGGATCTGTTTCACGGTAGCCCCGAGTTCAGATCCTTGGCCACGCTTGTAAATAGCCAACTGGTTTGTCTCCGACCGTTTGAGATTCTTAATGTTGTTATGTTCAATTTAGACCATTTGTTTTATTTGTTTGCAAGGACCACAATGGAAACTACTGGTTCACCTGACCACTGGATTTGTTTCACGGTAGCCCCGAGTTCAGATCCTTGGCCACGCTTGTAAATAGCCAACTGGTTTGCCTCCGGCCGTTTGAGATTCTTAATGTTGTTATGTTCAATTTAGACCATTTGTTTTATTTGTTTGCAAGGACCACAATGGAAACTACTGGTTCACCA